CTCAGAGGTGATGTCACAGCACCTTTGCTCCTCGTGGGGGACAGCAGTTTCAGAGCCCAGACTCCAGAGCTGGAAGGCCTGAAGTTCAGATACTAGCTCTGCCACGTTCTAGCTGTGTGACCCTAAGCAAGTGGCTCTCCTTTTCTATGGGAATGGAGCCCACAACCCTGGGCTTGTGCCCTGACCGGGTATCGAACCCTGCCCTCTTGGTTCATAGGTCGACACTCAAGCACTGAGCAACACTGACCGGGCTGTTTTGATTGATTTTAGAGAGAAACATTGATTGGCTGCCTCCTGTGTGCCCTCTATCGGGATCAAGCCTGCAACCCGGGCACGTGCCCCGACTGGGAATCGAACCATAACCTCCTGGTTCATGGGTCAATGCACAACTACTAAGCCACTCTGGCTAGGCCCATTGCCCTTTAGGAAATGTACTTATGGGTCCCCCAAGGACAACAACTGGGTCCAACTCCCCACTCCTCAGGGCCTAGCCCTGGGCCTGGAGACATCCCTGTGCGGGACCAGTTTGCCTGGGTCCTAACCCTGATCCCCCTCCTCCAGGGGGCCTTCTTTCCCCTGGCCCAGGGGAACTGGAGCCTGCCTAACCGGGCAGTGGAGCCCCAGCTGCAGGAGGAGGAGCGGATGGTGTACGTCGCCTTCTCTGAATTCTTCTTCGACTCTGCTTTGGAGAGCTACTTCCAGGCGGGGGCCCTGCAGCTGTCGCTGGTGGGGGACAAGGTATGCCAGGGCCTGTGTGTGGGATGAGCAAGAGGGGCTTGTGATGGAGCTCTGATGACCCTGCCTCACCCCTAATTCTCCTGACCAGGTGCCCAAGGACCTGGACATGCTGCTGAGGGCCTCCTACTTTGGGAGCATTGTCCTGCTGGTGAGTGTTGGCGGGACGGAGGGAGGTGGCCAGGGTGGGTGGGCACACCACCCGTAGGGAACCAGTGAGGTGTGCAGGTGGAGGCCCCAAGTGGCAGCCATGGAGTAGACAGAAGACCTGGCCTCTAGCCAAGTCCCCTCACCTGGCTGAGCCTGTGGCCAAGTCTGTGCAGGGGGTTCACTAGTTCCTGCTCCGTCTGTCCTTCATGAAGCCGTGATGAGGACGAGCTGAGAACCCAGCTCTCCAAGGAAGTGCAGGGGCTTTAATGACTGATGTTATTCTTTTTGCTTATTTTCCTTTGCTTAAGGGGGATATCCTCACCAGAGGATATTTTTTTTTCATTGATTTTTTTTAGGGAGGGAAAGTAGGGGGAGAGAAACATGGACTCTAAAGTGAAAGAGACACATTGATTGGTTGCCTCCCGCACATGCCCCAACGGGGCCAGGGACGACCTGCAACCAAAGTACCCAAGGTACGTGCCCTTGGCTGGGAGTCGAACCCCCGACCCTCCTGTCTGCAGGTTGATGCTCTAACCACTGAGCCAAACTAGCCAAGGCAGGGAGCTTAAAATTTAACAAGGAATATTTCGGTGTCCTTGGTTCAGTTTTATAAATGGAGCTGATATTTGAACCTGGATTATGAATCTGGGATTCCTGTTCATACTGGCATTCACTACACTGTACAACCTCGTAGGGTTGTCATGAGGATTAAACGAATTAATACACATAAAGCAAGTATAACCGTACCTGGAACAGAGGAAGTGCTCACTGAACACTAGCTGCTGTTACTGGTGCTGTCATCACCATCATCCAACTTATGGCCAGCACTGTTCAGAGCATGGACTCTATTGCCAGGCTGCCTGGGTTTGCATCCCAGTTCTGCAACGAGTAACTATATAACCTCGAACAGGTTACTTAACCTCTCTGTGCCTTAATTCCCCCATCTCGGGAAAGAACACCTGCCTCACATGGTTATGGTGAGGTTTAAATGAAATGTCTGGTTACGAGTAAGCACTGTTGATCAGCGTGGAAACCTAGTAGTGTGTCTACACTGCCCCCTAGAAGAAATAGCACAGCAGTTTAGAGAAAGGAGACACGGCAGGGACTGGGACATGGACTGTCTCCGAGGAGTGTGGATGGGCGATGGGTCATGAATACTGAGAACTGAAAGCAGAGAGAGAAGGAAGGAGACATTCCTAGAAGACATTTGTGTGAGCAAAGGCAGAGGCTGGACACAATTCTGCAGGGTTGGGAAGCTACACCTTTTTCGTATTTGTCCTTTGGGCTCTCAGAGGGCAGATCTTGAGTCCCCCACCTCCGGGGCTCACCTGGGAACAGATCCGGGATTGACCCTCCCTCCCTGCTCCATAGCAAAGCCCTGCAGTGATTGACTCCCCATTGAAGCTGGAGCTGCGTGTTGTGGCACCACCGTACTGTACCATCAAGCCCTCCGGCACCACCGTCTCTGTCACTGCCAGTGTCACCGTCGCCCTGGTCCCACCCAACCAGCCTGAGGTCCAGCTGTCCAGCATGATCATGGTGCGCGCACCACAGTGAGGGCTGCGGAGGGTTGGAGAGAAGTGGGCTGGGTACCTGCCTGGTGAGTAACACGTTCCCCCTCCCCACGTTCCCCCAGGACGCCCGTCTCAGCGCCAAGATGGCCCTCCAGGGGAAGGCGCTGCGCATACATCTGGACCTGCGCAAGTATGAGACGTCTGAGAATCTCGGGCAAGCCCGTAACCTCTCCGAGCCTCAGTGTCTTCAGGATAATCACATCTGCCTAACAGAGCTGGGGACCTAAAATTCTCTTACCAATAAGCCACTGAGGAGCTGTGGTCTTTAATACAAAGGAAGTGCTAGTTTGAGAGATGACCAAACTAGCCCAGTAAGGTTAAGTGACATGCTCACAGTCACACAGCAGCGCCTAAGAACATGGGTTTTGGCAGACACCCAGCACAACTTAGCTTTGTAATTTTTTTTAAATTTATTGATTTTAGAGAGAGGGGAGAGAAACATTGATTTATTATTCCACTTACTGATGTATTCATTCGTTACTTCTGGTATGTGCCCTGACTGGGGATCGAACGCGGCATCCTGGCATATTGGGATGATGCTCTAAGTGAACCACCTGGCCAGGACTTTAACTTCTTGAACACATTTATTGTGTGGCAGGGAGTAAGCACTATACTTTTTTAATTCATTATTATTTTTTTATTTCTATTGATTTCAGAGAGGAAGAAAGAGATAGAAACAGCAATGATGAGAGAGAATCATTGATCAACTGCCTCCTGCACGCCCCCTACTGGGGATTGAGCTGGCAACCCGGGCATGTGCCCTTGAGCGGTATTGAACCTGGGACCCTTCAGTCCGCAGACTGATGCTCTATCCACTGAGCCAAACCAGCTAGGGCAGCACTGTCCTTTTTGTTAAATAAAGATAAGCAGCACACGTCCTTGCAGTTTGCTCAGTGGTTAGAGTGGGACCATGCATGGAAGGGTCTCGTGTTTGATCCCCGGCACCTATTGGGGCACATGCGGGAAGCAACCAATCGATGTTTCTCTCTCTCCCCCTAAAAAAGAAAAAAAATCAATGGAAAAATATCCTCTGGTGAGGATTAACAAAAATAATAATAAGCAACACAAGCTACCAGCAGAAGTCTGGCATGTAGGAAGTGCTCAACAAACAGCAGCCAATGTGGAAAAAAAGAGACCTGTAAGAAGCGGCTCACCAAAAACACACATCTGGATGTCCTGTGAGCACCGACCTATGAACCAGGTCATGGTTTGATTCCTGGTCAGGGCACATGTCCAGGTTGCAGGCTCGATCCCCAGTAGGGGGTGTGCAGAGGGCAGCCAATGGATGATTCTCTGCCATCACTGATATTTCCAGCTCTCTCTCCTTCTCCCTTCCTCTCTTTGAAATCAATAATAATAAAAAGAAATACACACCTGGAGTGGTAGAACCCCCTGGAAAGGTGTAGAAGTGGGACACCTGAGACTGAAACTCAGGGTTCTGGTGGTGAGGCCTGGGTGGCCTAATGGAGGGGATTTATGCCCACCGGGCATTTCTTTCTCTCCCACAGGTTCCGAATCTACTCAAACCAGTCTGCACTGGAGTCGCTGGCAGTGAGTTGGGAATGGTGGGTGGGCCGAGGCTGGGGTCAGGGTGAGCGGCTAAGGCAAGCCCACCCGCTCTTCCCACTGACTCCGCCCCACCTCCCTCCCAGCTGATCCCGCTGCAGGCCCCTCTGAAGACTATGCTGCAGTTTGGGGTGATGCCCCTGCTCAATGGTAGGGTAGCGGGTATGAGGGAGGGAGGGGAGGGGAGGGACCTGGGTGGGCCCAGACTGAGCCAGCTGTCCCCACCCACAGAGCGGACCAGGCGTGGGGTGCAGATCCCACTACCCGAGGGGATGGACTTTGTGCGAGAGGTGGTGACGAACCACGCGGTGAGTGGGGGCACAATGGGGAAGGAGGGCACAGCCTTCCTCTCCCTCAGCAGGTTGGGAGTGCAGCCCAACCTGATATCAGCTCCTCCCTCATCAATTGCTCCCTCCCATGTAATCTTACATCAGACCCCTCCAGCTCACCTTGGAATACTCTTCCCGATTCCAACTCCAATGCCTACTAATCTTCCAGGTCTTAGCTAAGAGGTCACCTCCTCTAGGAAGCCCTCCTTGAGGCCCACGGGCTGTATTCCTGCAGCCCCTCCTTCAGCACCTTCACAGCAAGTTATAGCTGCTTTGCTGGGCCATCTGTCCCACTAGATTGAGAAGCCCCTCAAGGCCAAGACTCTCTTTATCTCTAAACTCTGGCCTCAGTACTGGAATGAACAGACTTCCTTCCCTGCCCCGCTGCACAGGGCTTCCTCACCATCGCGGCTGACCTCCACTTTGCCAAAGGGCTGCGAGAGGTGATTGAGAAGAACCGGCCTGCGAACAACATGGACTCCGGGGTGCCCAGTGCCCCACCACCCTCCACAGCAGCTGTCTGAGCCCTTAACCCCGCCCCTGGCAGCTGCATTCAGGACCAATGCCTCTGATCCCCTCCTTCACCCCCTCACAGCTTACAGGACCCTCTTTAACCCCCAGTGCCACAGAGAAGAAGAAGAGGTTGTAAGTGGTACCAAATTTAATTCCATAATCACAGTCCATCAATTACAGTCCGTCCAACCTCCCAGTGGGATGTCCTGAGCTCTACTGTGTTCCTGGGGCGGCATCAGTGCATTAAGGGCATTGTTTAAGCAGGGAGGGGACCAGGCCCTACCCGTCAGGAATAAAGTGCTAAATCCCTCACTGCCCTGCAGGGCATTTTGCATTAGGGAGGCCTCCCTTCTAGCAGGAGAGGCTGGAGGGGCTGCCCGTGGTCATCAGTATGGCTGCTTATTCAGGAAGCGGGAGAACATGGTGAGGGCAGCCAGGGGCTTGTCGGTGGGGACCATGTGTCCAGCGCCCTGAGGAGCAAAGCTTTGTAAGATTCCCTCCCTTGCCCTGGGGGCTTCCTTCATCCCATTGGATCCCCCTAGCCAATGAGGTTCCTCCTCCACCCACCCTGCCCAAACCTTCCAATCTTCATTCCCCCACTCCCCCCCACTGCAAAAACTTGCCCTTGGGGGGCCAGATGGAACCCAGCATAAAAGGAAGTGGGAAGGAAAGGGAAAGGAGGGTGGGTCCTGCCCCATCCCTCTCGCCCCAGCTAGCCCTCCCTCGCCAGGCCCAGGCCCTACCTTGATGGTGAGAAAGGCGATGTTGGAGAACTCCTTCACGAAGCCCGCAATCTGCTCCCCACTGTCCCCGTATTTCACTAACCAGGGCCGGCGCTGTACCTCCATCTGCCCCACCAGGAGAGAATTAGCAGCCGGCAGCCACCCGCCATCCCTGCTCACAGACACCGAACCTCGAGACCTTAGGGGCCAAGAGTGCTCACCCTACCCCTGTACCAGCCTCGCCCGGGGCCGACATCCCTGCCTTACCTTCTGGTTGAGGGAATCCACAAACCACTCATCCCCCAAGAAATTGCAGGCCATGTCCACATCTCCGTTGTAGAGCAGGATCCGGTATTTCTGGAGCAGAGCAGGGGAAAGTGGGAGGTCTGGAACAAGCCCAGGTCTCGGCCCTTACCAGGTTCAAGCCCTACCCCTAAGGGAATTCAAGGGGCCCAGCTAAACAGGATGGACCAGGAAATGCCTGTGCTTTCTGACTGCCTTCCTACGTGTCCAGTGCTCTATGAAATGCTTTACCTATAAAGGTAGATGCCATTATTAATCCCATTTCACAGCAGGGGAAACCGAGTCTCAAGATACGTGAGAAACGTGTCTAGGGTCACATGGCTAGTAAAGAAACTTGCACCCAGGCAATCTGACCCTCTGCCCACACTCTAACCACTGTGCATACAGACCTGGTCCTAACCTGGCTCTGCTAGTGTCTCCTAGGTGACCTTGGACAAGACCCTCTCCCACCCTGGACCTCCATTTGCCTATCTGTAACACAATCTGACTAGCTTTTCTCACCCTAAAGGCTTCTTGGCAGAATGCAGACCCCTTAACCTCCTACACCAGAGCAGCATGGGGTGGGGCCAAAGCCAGATTCAAATCCTGACCCTCCCAACTATAGGACCTCAGGCAAGTGACTTCACTTTGTGGAGTTTCAGCCCCCCCCCCCCTCCCGCTCCCCCCCATTTCCTCTGCCTTGCCACACTGCTCCAGGGCCCTGAGGCTGCTGGTGCACCCAGCTGTGCTGCCCCTACTCACCTGTGGGGCAAGCAGCTTAAGGTACTGGGAATTCATGCTTTGGTAGAGACGGCGATACTGTATATTCACAAGGAAGCTGCAGGAGCACGCGGGCAGGCCCCGGGAAGACCAGGCAGGGGGAGAAAGAGAGTCAACAGATCAGACCTCCTCTCCTATCCCCAGGCTCTAGCCTAGGAGGCAGGCAGCTGGGACTCAGTCCCCTCCTGGGGCATGCCACTTCTCTAGCTGGGGCTGGGATTCAGAGGTCCTCAGTCCACTCCATTTAGAAATGCATAGGGACACTTTGGTTGTCTCAATGACTGGATGCAACTGGCATTTAGAGCACAGTGGCTCGTAGGTGTGGGAGCTACAGCATGTAACAGTAGGGCAGGGGCACTGACCAATCGAAAAGGGACCCAAGTGGTCCCTGCTGTGCCGCTCGTCACCTTTACTCACAGGGGGTCAACCGAGAGCTGAGCTGCTGGGGATGGCATTGGAGTGAGGGGTGAGTTGGGAGTGTGTCTACTTACTAAATGCCATGGACATAACCCATATTTTAACAACCACGTGGCCATTTAAGAATGAACTGGATGAAAATCAACTTAGGGTTTAAACACCCTGTAGAACAACTCACTGTTGCCCCAGGTGCCAAAAGATCCCGGGGAGTTTTTCTGATGCCCACAAGCCCCAGCAGGCTGCCCACCCCCAGCCATTCGCAGCCACAGAACCTCACTTGCACATGTCCCAGCCAGGCAGTTGCTCGGGGATGTGGAGGGCCTTCCGCACAAGAGGGTTGTTGAGGTAGGTGGAGGTGGCTGTGGTGTTGGTGCAGGGGGGGTCCAGGTGTACCTTATTCCCGGAACGCAGCAGTGCCTGAGGGGCACAGACAGAGTCAGGATCTTCGCGTCCCTGCCCTGCCCCTCCCGCCCCCAAGAGAAAGCCCAGACCCTTGCACACCTGATGCAACATCCGCTTGATTGGCAGGCGAGTGAAGATGTTGCCAAAATCCTGGACCACGACAGCATCCTTCTCATACCTGCAAGACAAGTGGGGGGATAGGTGCTTGGGCCTCAAGACGAGGCTGCGGTTGGCCCAATGGGCACCCAGCAGCTCTTACCTTACATGGCCTGGCACCCCCCCAGCACACGGGGCGTAGAGGTTGTAGATGTTGAGACCAGAGCTGGCCACGATGTGAGACACTTCCTGGAGCTGCAACGGCACACCGAGCCGCCACACTTTACGAAAACCTGGCTTCCCCGCGACATCATCAACTTGTCCCAAGACTGAGCGCTTTCCTACCTCACCCTGTCATTACCCTCCCCCTGCTTTTTTCACACATAGGGAAACTGAGGCTCGGTGGAAGGAATCAGTCGGACCTGGGTTCAAATCCTAGTGCTCCTACTTCCTAGCATTGCGACTTCAACGTTCCGGCCTCAGTTTCCTTATCTGGAAAATGTGAATAATGTATCTCCCCTGAAGATTGTATGACGTGCCCGACACCGTTCAGCAGTCCTGGCACAGGGCAGGTGGTTGGTAAGAGAAGACCTTTCCCTCCTGGAGTGACAGGATTTACCCAGAAAATCACAGGAAGGGGTGATGGTTGGCATCCACATTCATGTGTCCCAGAGAACCCCAACTGCTGAAGGACGCAGGATAGGACAACAATAGGGGCAGGGCAGGGAGTCCCCCAGGAGGAGATGTGGTCCTGTGCCCGAACCGGGGGCACCAGGGATGACACGTGGTGGGGGCAGGACCTTACACTGTTCACACATTCTGGGTCTTTGTTGTCGTAGAAGTTGCACTTGTTTTGAGAGCAGCAGTGGGTCTGCAGGGAAGACCAGAGCCTGTATAGGAGATGAGAGTGAAAGTGCTTAGAGACCCACCGTGGGCAGGAAAGGCAAGAACCCCACTTTCTCCTTCCAGCCTCCCGTGGTGACCAGACCCCAGGGGAGGAGGAAATATGTCACAGGGGGTGGTATGTAGGTCCCCAACCTAGTTGCCCCTGGGCCATCCTTGGTTCCTTTAAATTCTAATCTCCAGTCTTAGGCCTTTTAGCACCAGACCCTTCTAACAACCCCAGCCCCCATCTTCTGCTCATAAACCAGGGTAGGGCTCAGGATATCATGTGCCTGGAGGACAGACCTGAGATCTTGTGACCCTGTCCCACCCTGAAGATTGCCCAGCTTCCCCCTTCCCATACCTGTTCCCCAGGAGGCCATGGTAGTAGGCAAAATAGACGAGAGAGTTGTCATTCTGTTCATAGGAGGAGAGTCCGTTGCCCACGGCCAGCCCCTGTGAAACAGTCAGGGCATCCAGCTCAGCGGGAGGGTGAGGAGAAGGAGCCACCCTTGACCTACACCCAGATCTTCAGCAATATGGAAACTGAAACCCCGGGTGGTTTGTGGGTGTGTGTGGGTGGGTGAGGCCACACAACATAGAGAACAGAGCTGTCAGCCTGATGAGTTTCCTGTCACGGGAGGCAGCTCGGGGTAAGGGTGTTATGAAGGAGTCTGGGTTGGATGGGGAAGTTGACCTGTTTGACCTCCCTGACCAGGAAGCTAGGACCACCTTTCTCCTTTCCCCCTGCAGCAGTCTTGCACCTGAAGGTTCATGCTGGGGTCCTGCATGACCAACACAGCCAGGGTGGGGATGTAGATGCCGGCATAGCTCTCACCCGTCAGGAAAAGCTCATTGTCCTTGTACTCCGGGAAGAGGCGGAAGAAATCTTGAAGGGCCTCAAAATTACTCTGTGCGACCTGGGGATGGCAGGATGGAGGGGATCCAGAGACTTTGGTATCTGAGCTGGAAAGAATCTCCAGATAATGACACCAACCCACCCTGTTTGTGCAAGAGGAAGTGGCTTCACAGTGACAAGATCACACCGGGTAGCATTTAACAGCCAAAAATGGACTCCAAAGCCATGGTTTTTCCCTGTATCATGCCACCCTTAGAAAGCCAGGGAGGCTGGGCACACGGGCAGGACTCACCTCAGTGTCATTAGTTGCATAAAACTTGTCCTTGGAGTAGGAGAAGCCCACCCCGGCTGGGGACTCGAGGTACAGCACGTTGGCAATCTAGAGGGGAGGAGGAAAGAGCTGAAGAGGGCGCCACACCCCGTCCAAGGGCCCAGACATCCCGCAGGACCCACAGCACCGCCCATACCAGGTTCCAAGAATAGGGGTTGTACTCCAGGGTGACACCATCTGGTTGGACCTGAGAAGGAAAGATATGGCTGATTAAGTCCCAAGAGCCAACTGGGTGGAGGCAAAGGGCCACCCTGTCAAGCCGATGGTACAGAAAAAGAAACTTAGGCTCAGAAAAAGGCACATGTTAGGAAAAAAGACAAAAGTCCTTTTCTCCCTGTTCTCCCTCTTCCTTTGGGAATGTGCCCTCCCTCTCCTTTTCCTGGGTCATGGAGGAGAGAGCTGCTTTCCACTCACCAGGAAGGGGCCGTGCTCGGTGAGGAAGCCATCTAGGGAGCTGCAGCCCGGCCCTCCGTTGAGCCAAAGCACCACAGGGCTGCTCTTGGGATCCTTCTGGGACTCCACGAACCTGGGAGGGGTCAGGCCTGGGTGGGTGCAGGTGGAGGGGCCTCTCCCAGCCCTCCCTGCTGCCCGGCTCCCACAGGGATCCTCAGAACCCCCACCCCACCCCGCAGTCCTCTCCCCGGGTGGGTTCCTGTGCGCCCCCCTCCCCCCCCCCGCCCGGGGAGGGAGAGCCGCGGACCAGTAGTGGAGATGCTTGGAGCCCGAGCCTTTGAGGTAGCCCGAGTACTGGCGGAAAGATGGCTGCTTGGCCAGCCCGGGCAGACACTGAATCTCGTCTTGATCGGGGGCTGCCTCGCCTCGGGGCGACCAGAGCAGCAGCAGCAGCAGCGGGAAGAACAGCGGCGACGGCGCGGCTCGGACCATCTGCGAGGAAGCGGCGCCGGCTGTTTACCGGCTCCCTGGCTGCGCGCAGCCGTCCCCCGGGAGGAGCTGGCGGCGCTCCCCGGCCCCAGCTCCCAGCCCGGCCGCCCCCGCTCGCTCCGCGTGCCGCTGGGGGACCCGGGATCCCTCCCAGCCTCCGGCGTCCCCTCACCTCTGCTCCCCCGCGTCCTTGTTTTCCAGGAGCAGTCGGGCGCCGGGAAGTCATGTGTACCCTGAGTCACGTGTGCCCCGGCGTCATGTGACGGACAGCCTCGCGCAGCTCCGCTGACCCGGGAATGGAGGGGGCGGGACGGTCCGCGCCCAGTCAGGGTCGGGGGCCTCGCAGGTCACCTCGCGGGTGCCCGTGATCAGGTGACTTGGGTGTGGACGGCCGGGATCCCCCAGCCTTCCCTGGGCTGTTTTAGGCGGGATGGCTGAAGGAAGCGGCACTAGGACCCCCCGGACAGAGCCTCGGGGACGGGAGTGGGGGAAATACCTTCCGTGCCCCCGCGGTCACCTTCCCAGCCAGCTGCCCAAAATAGTCCCCGGCGCCCACAGGCCCGCCTCATGGCGGGGAGATGGCCGCTGTCTCCGACCCCATGGAACTGGGTGCGCCCTGGGGACCCGCGCGCCCCGAGCCCTCTCCCACCCGCTTCCACCGGGTACACGGTGCCAACATCCGCGTGGACCCCTCCGGGACGCGGGCCACACGCGTGGAGAGCTTCGCTCACGGCGTGTGCTTCAGCCGCGAGCCGCTGGCCCCGGGCCAGATATTTCTGGTCGAGATCGAGGAGAAAGAGCTGGGCTGGTGCGGCCACCTGCGCCTCGGCCTGACGGCACTAGACCCCGCCGGTCTGGCGCCCGTGCCTGAGTTTTCGCTGCCTGACTTGGTCAGCCTCGGCCACACCTGGGTGTTCGCCATCACGCGCCATCACAACCGCGTGCCCCGGGAGGGCCGCCCGGCTGCAGAGGCAGCGGTCCCCAGCCGCCCCCCAGCCCTCCTGGTGGAACCGTATCTGTGCATTGAGCAGTTTCGCATTCCCCGCGACCGCTTGGTGGGCCGCAGTCGGCCCGGACTCTACAGCCACCTCTTGGACCAGCTCTATGAGCTGAACGTGCTGCCTCCGACAGCGCGCCGCAGCCGCCTGGGCGTTCTCTTCTGCCCACGCCCGGACGGCACCGCCGACATGCACATCGTCATCAACGGCGAGGACATGGGCCCCAGCGCCCGGGGGCTGCCAGCTGCCCAGCCCCTCTACGCAGTGGTGGACGTGTTTGCCTCCACTAAGAGCGTGCGCCTGGTCCAGCTTGAGTATGGCTGTAGGTATCCCACCTCCTAATAGCGACCCCTCCTGGCCCAGTGTGTGGACCTGAACTTGCTAGGCTTCCGAGCCAACTAGCAAGGCCTTGGTCTGTCCAGCATTAATTTAGAAGCTGGGGAATCTGATCTTGGATAAGTCATTCCCTTGCTCTGGACCTCAGTTACCGTCTTGGCTGTGAATGATTAGGATGCCTTCCAAGTTCCCTTCTGGCTTTGACAATATTTTCTGTATTAATCCGAACTGATTTTAGATTCTGGGCCTCTGAGAGTTGTGTGCTCTTTTATTAAACAAATGTTCCTAGATTTGGGCATACCAGTTTAAAGGCATCACAGACCCCAGATTGAGAGCTTCTTAATCCTGAGGTTTGGTTCATTCTAGCCCCCGTAAACCCTTTATTTGGACCTCTGATCACATTTTATGTATTCAGTGAACCAGAGCCCACTCTGAGCCAGGCCTGTGCTGGAGGCTGGAGTTGCACAGCTAAGTCAGACACTACCCCTGCCCCCAGAAGCTGCTACGTGGGGGGGGGGGGGGGGAGGGAGGGTACTGAGTGTTACATTAGAAGTAAGGCTGCAGCATTGTGAAAGTATTGCAAAAGAGGTGCTTATCTCAAACACAGGTGCAGCCCCATGAGTCACAGGGATCTAGAGTGTAGAAGGGAATTGCTCAACTTAACAACAAAGGGGGGACCAAGACCTAGATCTTTTGGGACTCAGCCTTAGACCTACCCTCCTGTTCAGGTTGCCTTTGACCATCTTCTTTCCACAGTGCCATCCCTGCAGACCCTGTGCCGCCTAGTGATCCAGAGGAGCGTGGTGCACCGTTTGGCCATTGATGGGCTCCACCTGCCCAAAGGACTGAAGGATTTCTGCAAGTATGAGTGAAGGCCTGCAGCCACCCTGGAGCAGTGTCCAGGGTCGCGTCCTGGCCTCAGCGCTGTGGCTGGTCTGAGATGGCCATACTGCTGTCAGCCAGAACCAGAAATAAACAGAGCCAATGCTGATCATTAGAGGGTCTCCTTACCCCTGAAGCCTGTAAGGAGCACTTCTTTTAGAATGACTAAAAGGGTTGGTTAGCAGGTCAGAGCAAGAGAGAGCATGTTATTTTTAATTTTAAAAATTCGTTCATTGATTTTTCAGAGAGGAAGGGGGAAAGAGAAACATCAATTTGTTGTTGTTCCACCTATCTGTTTACCCACTGGTTGATTCCTGTATGTGCCCCAACTGGGGACTGAACCCACAACCTTGGTGTATGGCAGTGATGGCGAACCTATGACACTCATTTTTTTAGTTGATTTTTCTTTGTTAAATGGCATTTAAATATATAAAATAAATATCAAAAATATACATCTTTGTTTTACTATGGTTGCAAATATCAAAAAATTTCTATATGTGACATGGCACCAGAGTTAAGTTAGGGTTTTTCAAAATGCTGACACGCTGAGCTCAAAAGGTTCGCCATCACTGGTGTATGGGGATGACTTGGTGTATGGGGGTGACTTGGTGTATCAGGGATGATTCTCTAACCAACTGAGCTACCTGAACAGGGGAAGAGAAAGCATTTTATTTTATTTTAAAAATTCATTTTAGAGAGAGACACTTCAATTGGTTGCCTCCCACATGCTCCCTGACCAAGGATTGAACCTGCAACCCAAGTATGTGCCCTGATTGGGAATCAAACCCGCCACCTTTTGGTGTACAGGATGACGCTCCAACCGAGCCACATTGGCTAGGGCAAGCGAGAGCATTTTAGACATCATCTAGACCAGTAGTTCCTAGCCTGGCTACTCATCAGTTTATAGACTCCATCTCCAGAGATTCTTAGATTTGTTGGAAGTTTGGGCCTAGACATTGTTTTTGTAAAAGCTCCCCTCAAGATTCTAATATACAGCCAGAGTAGAGAAGAACAGAAGTCTCAACTTTGGCACATATTATAACCACTTGCGGAACTTTGAAAAATACTGATAACTGGGTCTGGGCCCTAGAATTCTGCTGTAATTAGTCTGGGATGAGGCTGGACATCAGGATTTCTAAAAGCTCCCAAGGGAAACTAATGTACAACCTGGTGTGAGAACCAGTGCCCTAGACCAGTGGTCGGCAAACTCATTAGTCAACAGACCCAAATATCAACAGTACAACAATTGAAATTTGAGAGCCAAATTTTTTAAACTTAAACTATATAGGTAGGTAGATTGTTATTAACTTAATTAGGGTACTCCTAAGGATTAGGAAGAGCCACACTCAGGGGGCCAAAGAGCCGCATGTGGCTCGCGAGCCACAGTTTGCCAACCACGGCCCTAGACCAACTACTTCATTTTGTTGATGGGAAACTGAAGCCCAGAGGTCATACAGGAAATGAATCGATGCAGAGAATCCCTTCTCTCACACTACAGCCACTAGACTCCATCATTTGTATCCCTGGTCATTTGGTTCCATACAAATGGTCTCATTTAGTTCTCACAACTTCTGGTGAGGTAGTGGGCAGTCATTACCCGCACTGTACCGATGAGGATATCAAGGAACAAAACTGTCCAGGAGACTCGCCCAAGGTAAAGGCAAGAACCTAGAATGCTCAGATCCTGGTTTAGTGCTCCTTTAACCCCATCCCATTGTCTTACAGAGGTTCTAGAATGAACAGGTCAATGTTGTGAGGTAGATTCCAGGTACAGAAGGGAGGGACTATGAGGTGACATTCTAGAAGGGTGGGGAGGGGAGGGGAGAGGGCAGAGGACTATTTCCTCACAAACAGGCGCTTTGGGGTAGCCATGTCCTATTTCATGTCTCCACAAACTCATCTAGGTCTTCTGCCTTCCGGCCAAGGTGAGAGAGGGGCTCTTGGAACTGGAATGGGTGTAACTTCCCCTGAGAACTTGCTTCCTGGCTCTGGGGAGGTGGTGGTTTCTGCTAAGCATTTTGGGGCTGGCCCCCAAGTCAGTTCTTATCAAAGAAAATCCATTCCCAAAGTGCTTGCCAATAGCTACCCACTTGCTCGCTCACTCATTCAACAAACACTTCTCCATCACTTAGGCTGGGGACGGGGGTGTGGATGTTAGTATAATCTAGTTCCCAACCACTAGACAACCCTCTTCGGCTGGCCTTAATTGCTCCTGTTCCCAGTGCTCTGCTCCTATGCCCTGCCCCTCAGGGCCTCCTTCTCAAAGAGACCAAGAATAATAGTCCATCTCATTCCTGTCTCTGCAGGTGAGACTGCTTCTAGAGGCTCATCTCTTGGCCCCTATAGTCCTGTAGAGCCAGTGGTGGTGGCCTCTGGTGGACGAGGCCAACTGAACCAGAAAACTGAGCAGGTGGTACCTGCTGTCCAGGCCTGGGGCCCAACTCTGGCAGTGCCGGAAGCCAGGGGCTGCCCTGGGGGGCCTAGCTGGGAGACACTGCGGCAGAAGGAGTACGGCCGATACTGCCACAAGTTCCCCCATGTGAAGCAGCCTGAGAGCTTGGGCTGGGAGGATGGCTGCTCCAGAAGCAGAGCTCCCCACCTGGGTGGCTCCAGCAGGCCTGGGCCCCTACTACTGTGCGGGCTATCACCAGGAGTTGTGCCGAAGCCCTCTGAGGCAGGGGGAAAGGAGGCCGGCTCCCAGCCCGACATCTGCATCCTTACCCTGGCCATGATGATTGCTGGCATCCCCACCGTGCCGGTCCCAGGCCTGCGGGAAGAGGACCTAATCCGGGCGGCTCAAGCTTTCATGATGGCCCATCCAGAGCCAGAGGGGGCTGTGGAGGGGGTGCAGTGGGGGCAGGTGCATGCCCGCACAGCCTCTGGGCACATGCCCCTAGTGAGATCCAGGAGGGGCCAGCCTCCTGGCTCCTGCTTGTAGCTGATGAAATAGCGTCAGACACAGAGGGTGGCTTCTCCGTATGATTTTTGGGCAGATAGGGTTGGGGGTGCCTCTGGCAGGGATGGGGACAGGGTGGGTGATTGAGCCACTCTGATGAATACCAGACCCCAGGAAGTTTCTCTAGATACCACCGAGCCAGGAGACAGGTCTTGTCAGAGTAATTATAATGAAAATTACCTGAGGTAGGGACCCTGCTTGGAGAGTGGAGGTTTCTTCTGTATTGTTTTGGGACTTGATCAAAACTTCTTGTACAAAGTCATAGGCAATGTGCATTTCCTCTTGCCTTACATTTCCCAGCCTGCTGAGGGCAGGTGATGAGACCACAGGCAAGGAAGGAAAATTAATACTTATTTGAGCACCCACTGGGCATCAGGCCCATTATATGCCCACTCCTTTAATCTTACCAGTGCTGTGAGGATCTTCATTTTTATAGACGAACAAACTGGGGCTTAGACAGATGACTTGCCTTAAGTCCCATAGCTAGTAAAAAGCAGACCAGGTCTCAAAAATCAGGCAAGTAAGGAACCAGGATTTGCATGTAGCATCGGACTCCAAAATCTCTATTCTTTCCATGACATTTCCTAACGTGCCTTCCGCAAGATAAAAAACTAGACGAGTGCTAAAGTAGGCAACATTCAACTTTAATGACCTCAGGATGGGGCCGGGGTAGTAAAAAGACTGGGAACCTGGCTGCACCAGCTCCTCTGAGGGGCCTCTTCCTCTGGGAGTCAGAAGAGTCATCTCATGACTGGGGTAACTTATCCCAGACCTTGATCTTTACCCACTGTCTGTACCTCTTATCTCAGAGCAGAGGTCACCTGTTTTGTAAGGCCCTTGAGCTAAGAATAGTTTTTACCTTTTCAAAAGGTTGGAAAAAACAAACAAAACCAAAACCAAGTACAATAGACTGTATATGGCCAGCAAAGCCTAAAATATTTACTGTCGGGCCCTTTGCAGAAAAGGTTTGCTGATTCCCGTCTTAGGAAACTAGACATATTGTAGGTAGCAGGAGGCAATAGAAGACCTCTGTTCTGTCCTGGAGGGAGGGTCCAGGGAAGTACAACAGCGAGTGTGTGTGTAGGGGAGGATGTGTGTACCTGTGTGTGAGCATCTCTCAGCACAGGGTAATCACAGCTGGACCTGCTCGTAAGGGCCGATCCAGATGTCGGCCAGTCTCCGCAGGGTGCTGTACCGCAGTTCAAACTCCTCCTGGCTGCAGTGTTGTAAGAGCTGACCCACCTGCTCAGTGAGGAGAGCCACAGCCAAGTGCTTATCCAGGGTCTCACTCCACTTGCTGCCCAGGATGTCATCCAGACTAGCAGCACTGTCTGCTGTCCACTGAGGTGGCAGCATATTAGGCTGGAGCACCTGGTGCCGGGCACTGAGCATGGCCAGGATGTGGCGGCAGGGCAGGTGGAAGGCCTGGTTAAAGTAGCAGTTGCAGCTGGCAGGGGGCTGGGGCTGCACTCTATGGGTGTCTTCCAGGATTTGTACATTCACTTTTTCAGAGCCAGAGCCAATGAGCTGCATAGATTTCTGGACCACGGCAAGCTCACCCAGGCAGAGCTGGGCTGCTGGCTCTGTGCAGATGGTGTGGAGGGAGTGCTGGATGCAGTCTTCTACCAACTGTTCCACTTTGGGGCTCTGGGGGCTGACGTCCGAGGGGGCACAATTGCTCCGGGGACTCAGGCCCAGGCTGAGGACTGCCTTGTCCCCAGAGTTCTGCTGCATGAATCGGAGCAAGGAGGCTATGCCTTGTTCCACAGATGGGGTGGTACCAAAGAACTGGCTGAGGATGCGGGTGGTGACCTCCAGGCCCTGGAAGTAGTGGCTGCTCTCGGCTTGGCTTCTCCGACGGTGGGCCAGCCAGATGCGGTCATTGAGCAGCCAGTATGAGTGTTGCTTGGTCAGCTGGTCTGGGGGGATGCAGTTGCTCAGGAGTGCATGTAACTTCCTCAGGTTGCCAGCAGTGGCTGAGCACATTGTGCTCTGCAGGGCGGTCAGGAGCACCTGCTTCACAGGCTGTTCGAGGGAAAGCTGATAGAACTTGCCCTGGAGGAACTTACAGATATGGAAGGCTGAGGGCAGGACCTCAGCTTTGGGGAACTCCATAGCTAGGATGGGCAGAGGGAAGAAGTAGGGATCTACCAGGATAGTACAGACTTTCTCCCAGGCTGGGTTAAACATCTTGAATACCTGGAACATCTGGGTCAGGCCTTCAGCATCCTCCTTGGCAGGAATGGCAAAGTAAACTGTCCGGGCAAGATGACCCTCCAGCTGCACCTGAGGGCCATCCACCAGGAAGGTATATAACACCTTGCCCGTTGGGTTATAGGTCCGGTGGATAAATAAGGTATCCGGGAAATGGGCAAAGATGTCCTGCATAAAGTTGCTCTGATAGTTGAGGGTATCTAACTTGGCAGGCTTGCTAACCTGGTACAGCAGCATAGATGGGCTTGGGTCCTCAAGGAGGAGCTCATTCAGCATTGTCAGGGCCATGGGGGAGATGGGAGATGTCTAGATGCCAAGGTCAAAATACTTCTCTGCGAGGCTGCTGTACAGGAGGCTCTCAGTCTCTCAAGCTCCAACTAAGTTGAGGCTTGAGGCTGGACTGTATTTCCCAGATCTTGTTCCAAAGAGGGGCCTATGGAGAGGAACACAGGTTTAAGGAGATAGTGGAGGCATGGCTCTTCAATTATCCAGACAATATTTATTGAGCGCTTACTGTGTATTAGCACTGTTCTGGGGGAGATAATACAATAAACATGTAAACAAATAAACGAGGACATATCAGATAATGAAGGTTACAAAGACCACAATTCTGGGTAACAGCAAGTAAACTGGGGGTGGAGGGAAACTTTAGCTAAGGTGGTCAGGGAAGTCCTTTCTGGGGGAAGGGAGGATGACATTGGAGCTGAGACCTAAATGATAAGCTAGCCATTTGGTTCCCTAAGATCTAAATGGGTGTGAAGGCGAGTGCTGCATATAGTCTGTTTTTTAAAATAGCATTTTAAATATTTGTACAGCACTCTATATTTACCTTTTGGCATCCATTCTTTCATGTGGTCCTGGTGTATACAAGAGAAATGCAATTGCCCCAAATTTGCTGTGTGATCTTGGGCAAGTCAGTGACACCTTCTGAGCCTCCATCTCTTCAGCCTTAAAACAGGACTAACAAATATGCCGCTATGTAAACACCGACATGAAGAGCAAAGTTCTAGTCAAATGTTTCCACTATCTGACCCAAAAGCAGGTTACTGTCCCCATTTTACAGAAGAGAAACTGAGGCTCAGAGAGGTTAAATGACTTGCCCAACATTGTTCCGTAAGTAGCTGGACGCTGAGTCGCTGGCTCGGGACCCTGACTGCTTTCCAAAGCACCTGAGCTCCATAAACCAGGGACAGAGCAAGGACGCGGCCTCTGACCTCTCACCTCCAGCCCGATGGGAGGATGTGGATGTCAGGCTCTTCCACACGGAGTCCGGCCGGAGCCAGAAGAGACGTCAACTCCCCACCCCCTTGGGAGCCGTGTCCAGGCCGACCGTGAGCAGTGGCCTTACATCTCCACCCCTTCCGAAATCACTCACCCACAGGCTGGCTCAGCCGCCATTTCTCCCTATTTGACCCGGTCTCTGGCTCTGACTGACCTCTAGACTCACCAACCGCGGCGCCAGTTTCCTGTGACTCGGGCCAATAGCCTGAGGAGCTCACGTTAGGTCTTTCGAGCTCGGACCAATCGTAGCCCGGCAACTTGTGGGCGGTGCTGTTGCCAGGGTTACGAGGGGCTCGGCTGGCGGTAACCAATAAGAGCCTGAGAATATTTGCTTCCAGGAGAGTCTGAGACCTGAACCTGGAACTCTGGAACCTTCTGTGTGAGGAACCGACTAGAAGGGCGTGTTACTATGGAAACGCCCTCAGCGGCCGAAAATGAAGTGGAAAATAAATAGTTGTGTTTCAAGAATTTTCTTCTTGTCTAGTCAAATTCCAAAGGCCCCGCGTGTGTGGGGGGGAGGGCGGTAGGAAAGGGTGCCTGTGTAGCCGTACTGAGTCTTCTGCCGTGGGGAAACTGAGGCCCAGGTTTCAAGTTCCGCCTCTAGGTCGGGGGTTAGGAGTCCAGCCCTTGGGTTTGAGAAAACCCAGATCTCCTTGAGAGAGCTTGGTGTTGCCCAGGCAGCCCCTCCCCGTGTTTTACAGAAAGATCCGAAATGCAGCTGTGACTTGTTACGGTCATGGTGAACCAGTGCAAGAACCAAGACGATTGCCACCTTTGACCTCAGTTCCCCTGAAGATGGTTGGCTCTAGGTGATTAAGATTACAAGCTAGCAGCAACAAAAGTCAGTGTTGATGCTTGTAACTGTGGCGAAATGTTCCGTTTATATAAATCTAGAGGGGAAACTTGGCCAACACTGATTTTTGCAGGTGAGGAAACCCGGGTCAAAGAAACTAGGGACTTTCCTACAGGCTCCCTGCAAGCTGCGGGCAACTGATTAGAAGATTCCGGTTTCGCCCGGCCCAGGTGGCTCAGTGGATGGAGCGCCGGCCTGCGGACTCAAGAGTCCCAGGTTCGATTCTGGTCAAGGGCATGTACCTTGGTTGCTGGCACATACAAAGTGGGGAGTGTGCAGGAGGCAGCTGATCAATGTTTTTCTCTCGTCAATGTTTCTGACTCTCTGTCCCTCTCCCTTCCTCTCTGTGAAAAATCAATAAAATATATTTTAAAAAAAAAAAGATTCCGGTTTCGCCTGGCCCGCGTGGCTCAGTGGTTGAGTGTGGACCTATGAAACACGAGATCACGGTTCCATTACTGGTCAGGGCACATGCCCAGGTTGCAGGCTCTATCCCCAGTGTGGGGTGTACAGGAGGCAGCTGATCAATAATTCTCTCTCATCACTGATGCGTCTCTCTCTCTCTCGCTCTCTCTCCCTCTCTGAAATCAATAAAAATATATTAAAAAATAAAATACATAAAAAGATTCCGGTTTCTTCCCTCCCTATTTGGCCTCATCCTGTTGGAATATGAAGCAGCCTGAAATCAATGTTGAAGGGTTTGGTTGGTAGGAAGGGGATGAAGTGGTGGATTAAGTCTTTGAATTTGGGGCATCAAGTTGTTTTGCTTCACAACCCCCACTTGATTCCGTCCCTATTCAAGCAGCACACATTTCCCTTGATTTTATTTTTAAAAAAACCAAAAACTTTTAATATGAATAAAAATAGACACACATAACAGATTCTTTGTAAAGAGCAGCAATAATCAAGGATCACCCTCCTTCCCTCGTCCCTGAAAACAAGCCCTTTTACCCGGTCCATTTCATCTCACCCTATCCTGGGTCATGAGGTTCATCTCTGTAAAGTGAATAAGATCTGTTCTCAGGGATTGGGGAAGACAGAGGGATGACCTTTCAACATGGAGACAACTTTGGCCTTAAACAATGAATGGGGCTCCCAAAGCATGCCAAAGGTAGGGCAAAAAAGGGGGAAATTCAAAGGACTGTCACAAGTGGGATCCTCTTCTCTCTACTGTAACAATCTTCCTGGCTCTACCTAGGAAGCCATTGGTTAAAATCCTGACCCCTAGCATGACCTGCCCACTGTGAGCTCTCAGACTCCCAAGGAGAGGGGTCTGTGGTTCAATGCGCCACAGCAAGTGCTTTAATCATGAATCGTGGCTCCAGCAAGAGGGAATCCCTCCCCTTCCTCCTGTTTTCCCCAGAGAAAAGGGAGGCGGCCCACATCCTTGAAGTCCCCTGGCTGCGGAGTGGGCGCAGGTGGCTGGTAAGGGTCAGCCCAGATGTCCACAATCTTGCGCAAGGTGGAAAAGCGCTCCTCCAGCTCTGGCCCCTCACTCTGCATTAGCAGGTTTGCTAGTTCCCTGCTTAGGTCCTGGATCATGTCCTTCCTTCCTGGCTTCCCAGGCTGGCCTGTGTTGGGGACCACAACAGGGTCCCGGAGCTCCCCACTAGGCCCAAGGAGGTGCTGGTACCTCTTTTGCCACCGGCGGCAAACCATAGTTTCACCCACTGGCTTCTGGCTGTTGTGTAGCAGGGCCAAAATGTGTCGGCATGGCAGGTGGTACCGTTGTTGAAAGGAACAGCTGCAGCTACAGCCATCTTTGCTAACCTGGTGAGAGTCCTCCAGCAGCTTAATGTCCACTGAGGAGCCAGCCATATCCATCAGGTGGGTCGAGTTCTGTGCCACCTCCCATTCATTGTAGCACAGCTTATAGGCCAGTTCGAAGCCACTCTGGTGCAAGGTGTCTAGCATGCCACCCTGGAAGGGCTGCACCTGTGGCTGCTGCTCCACCTGCACCTGCTGTGGGGGTGGCTTTGTCTCTTTCATGGGGGGCCTGCTGAGGCTCCCTCCACAGATTTCAAAAGGCTTCTTGGACTTTGGTAACATGCTTGCTGTCCGGGCTTTCTTTGACTTGGGAGGAGCTGTGGGCAAGTTTTTCACACCTTTGGTATTAAAGAAGTCGATGTAATCCACAAAGTGGAGGATGCAGTCCAGCAGGGACTGCTGTTTCCTAAAGAGACTGGACACCTTGCTGGTGACGATGTCTAGGCTGTCCATGTAGGTGTTACACGCATGCAGGCCCTTCCTGACGTGCATGTACCACAGCAGTTCACAGGAGAACCAGTGGGTCTGCAGGAAGCTGAAGAGCTCCTCATCCAGTAGGGCTTGGGACATCTGACAGAGATTCTGCAGGCTGGCATCAGAGGTGACAAACACAGCCTCCCGTAGGGCTTCCTTCATGAGAATCTTAAAGGATAGATTTGCCGAACTACGATGCAACTTCTTCTTTAGGAGTCGGGTTGTGTGGTAGATGGAAAGGAGAATTCGGGCAGCAGGGAAGATTTCCTGCAGGATGGCTCGGTGAGGGAAGGATGGGTCCACAAAGATTACCTTGATCTTGGGCCAATCTGAGTTGAACTCTGTGAAGATACCCAGCATCTTGGCCACAGACGTGGCTGTCTCGGCCCTGAGCACAGCAAAGTGTACCACTCGACTCTCTCGCTCCTTGTTCTCCACCAAGAACGCGTAGAGGATGTGGCCCTGGGCATTCTCCACCCGGTGCAGCAAGAGATTCTCTGGGAAGCGGATGAACAGGTTGCTCATCTTGCTGCTCTGAAAGCTGAGCCGGTCCAGGTCTTGGCTGTTGCCTACACTGAGGGAGGCCATGGAACCCTCATCCACCTTAAGAAAGTTCTTCATCACTTTCGCTATCTTGGCCAGGTCAGAAGGAGTGATCCCCTCCCGCTCTGGCTTTGAGGCTGCTTGGACCTCACCTAAGCAAAATGAAGGTTCAGCTTGGGGCTTCTCAGCCCTGGTAAGGTCTTTTTTAAATGTGGGCTGCTCAGGCTCAGGTTTCTGCAGATACGCTGTCCTTTGAGATTCAGCAGTGTCTCCTTCAGGATCCGCAGTTTTGGAGTCAACATGTATATGCTGGGTGTTGAGTTCACTGATAAATAATCTATCCAGTTTCTCATTGTACTGCAGGAGCAAGTATGCTGGGCACATGTCCGCCTCTGGTGTTCTCTTCCTGTTTGACTGGATCCGACTACAGACAAATTTCACCTGCACATATCTAGGGAAAGTAGAAGGGACAATGAGAAAGGTGCTGACCACCCCCTTTCTTTTACAAGACAAGGCCCTCTTGGACTTGGACTTACAGTGGCTGATATATTTTCTGGAGACCACAGTGCAGTGTAGGATGTAGGGAAGGAAGATTTATGTTTACTCTCCAATCCCAGAGTATGCAGCTCTTTCTTCAAGACCCTATCTAGCTAAAACTCCCTTCATTTTCATCTACTGCAGTTCTAAGCCCCAACTCCTTTCATTCACTCTGTTGCCCATCTGTAGCTGCCGACAATTCAATCGGAGCAAAATACAAAGGAAAACAGATAAGAGGCAATAGCAGAGTACCTAGCTGGTTACTGTTTAAAATGTTCCCTTCTGCCCGGCCAGTGTTGCTCAGTGGTTGAGCATCAACATATGAACTGGGAGGTCGGGGTTCGATTCCTGGTCAGGGCACATGCCCAGGTTGCGGGCTCAATCCCCAGTAGGGGTCTTGCAGGAGGTAGCTCATCAATGATTCCCTCTCATCAATGATGTTTCTCTCTCTCCGTCTCCCTTTCTTTTGCTGAAATCAATCAATCAATCAATAATCTATACATATAAAAGCCAAGTGAAAAAAAAAAAAGCCAAGTGACCTGAATGCCAGAACGACTGGAACAACTGGTCCCTATGATGTGCATGCGGCTGGCCAACCGGCCCAATAGGGGAGCGGCCCCTCCCCCCAGCCGACCCGGCCCCCAATCGCCCCCCCCCCCAGATCGGGGGTGGAGCCAGTTGGCCAACCACCAGCAGCCCCCCCACCCAGCCCTGCCCAATGGGCCCCCATGGGAGGGGGTCAGCCGGACCCCACCCATGCATGAATTCATGCACTGGGCCTCTAGTACTGTATAAAGATCTAAACTTAAAAAAAAAATGTCCCCTTCATTCCTACCTTCTGGGAGCCACTGCCTACTCCAAACAGCAAAGATAAAAATGACCCTTCTTGGCTGGTGGTTCAGTTGATTTGAGCATCATTAAGTACACCAAAAGGTTGGGGGTCCAATTTCTGGTCAGGGCACATAACTAGGTTTTGGGTTCTATCCCTGGTCAAGACTCAT